AATCAACTTTCTTGCAAAGATACTTTCAACTTAAAACTAAAATAGTAAAAATGTCAGAATATTGAGCAAATTTTATTTAGAAATGAGAGAAACGGGAGGAAAATTATATATACGATATGTATTTCGAAAGGCTAAGTATATCAGTCAGAGTCGATTGAAATGCCAGGATCCAAACTAATTTAAGAAACTATTGTTTTATCCGAAGATACAATATACCGGCCAAGAAAATATTTGAAAATGGATTTCCTAAAACAATTAAACATCAAATACAGTCCAAAACGAGCAAATAATTCCAAGTAATAAACTAAACACAAGGTAGTCGAAATTGTAATGGATTGTAGATTTTGTTACGTTTTGTTTAGAGTTGGTTTTGAATTTAAAATCAAGCATATAAATAAATTAAATTCCAAAAGAACAATAATTTGAAATGTAGAAAAATATTAGGGGGAGAAACCATCAGCAAATATAATTAAGCCACTGTCAAATAAAATTTGGTGGAACAAGTGAAGATTCAAAAGAAATAGGACAAACTTTTAAACGAATAATTGACAACGATCAAGAATTGATGCAGTACAAACAATAAAACTGATCGCAGATTGGTAACCATTTTCATGGTTTGTAAAGATTACTACTTAAAAATACTGTGGCTGCATGATCTGAAAATGTGAAGGCAAAAAATGAAGAGAGGAACAACGATTTAGATCAAATCGAAAATGAAGAAATATATTCTTTTTTTTACAAAAAACTTGTAGTACTTGGGCAGTTATTTTAGGGCAAACAAAAAAATTATTTAAATGCTATTAGCAGTGTAGAAATAATGTTAATGTGTATCACATGCACAGTCTAAATGAAATTGATTATTTTATATCACAAAGCAGTGTATGCATTTTCAAAAAGATTCCATAAGGAATTCTATGAGTAAATTTCACAAACGATCAGGATTGTTTGTGGTTTATATTATTAACACCATTGATTTTGTATTGGACACTGGCAGGTGATTTTGTGGACACTGTAATTTTTGCAAGAGATCATGCAGTAGAAGCACCAAGAAAGTTGACACCGCTACACCACACCGTGTTTTGGATATTTAAATTTGATGACAATAAAGAAGAAGATCATTTCAAAAGACATGCATTCTATTAACCTTACGTGGTCGCATTAAATAAACAAAAATGGAATTCGTCAAACTTTTCGATAAATATAATATAGGGGCTTAGCGAAGCAAGTAGAAAGTGTACTAAACTCATCAGCTTAGCAGGTAAAGCTTTCGCCCCTGTTATGGAAATACGTATATAATATTACCTTATTTACTCATGCCACGAGTTTCGAAATCTAATTTAACATAATCGAGAATTTCCTTTGGGGAAAGTTAGAAAACTATCACTAATCGCGTTGAGCACCACTACATATCGCTTAGGTAGTAGGTTCAATCAAGTCTACTCCCCTATCACATACGACCCTCAGGAAACCTTATAAGAAAAGGGAATTACGGTTGATTACGTCGCCAGTCCCCGTTTTGAAGGGAATCGGTTCAAATTGAGGCGCCAAATTAGGCAAATCGCAGTTTTTGCACGCGTCGACTAAATTGCTGAGACTCTTGTGAGGGACCGTTGATTCTATTTTTACGATATTTGGGGCGTGGATGCTGCTGTGTCATTGATTGCGTGGGGGGGCTCAGCCTCAATCAGTTCCGAAGCCACGTAAACTTTCAAATGCCCTCGAGGATTAAACGTCCGAAGAAAAAGGGAAATTACATTTCACGGTTTTGGCTAAAAGTCAAATCATCTAGAATGCTGCTGGATTCAAGGCAGAATATTCCATTTGATTTCAATAAACTTAATTTCAAACTGAAGCAGCTGTTTCCAGTGCAATCAATAATAGGACTTGCGGAAACTTCAAGGCTCTTGTGAAGTAACCGACTGGAAAGCCAGTTAACTAAAAGTATCCAGCTCTAAACTAAGCAAAATCGATCTTTAACTTTGCAGTTAAATAGCGAAAGTGGCGTGTTTAGGCATCGAATGGGTGAAGATCTAACTCGTTTAGGTCGCACGGTTTAGAATAACGGTCTAACTGACATGGATGTTGCAGATACTATGATACCTTAGGTGCTACACCTCGGAAGTACATTAAAATAAAGGACATTGATATAAATAAAATACTGGTTTGTTTAAAAACTCATAGTTCATTTTTCTTTTTCATTACTTATTGCAATTTTGTATTCTTCTAACCAATTGTGAATTATTTATAAGCTTGATTTTAGCTTTTAATTCGAAAGATCAAAGTTTCCGTAATGAATGTTTTAGTCTGAACAAGTGACACGTGAAATTCCATTAGACTTACGTCCGTTCATTATTACCATATTGGAATTGGATCAAAAAATCAAAGGCAGATTGAGCAACAGGCTTCAGTAGTAAAAGTAAAAGAGTAAAAATGTCAGCAACTTGCATTCTCCAACTCTTAATTATCTTTGAAGGAAATTACTAAATTTTTCTAAATATGCATTCATATATGCAGACAGTAAATTCAGTATGCAGACATGTACTCTATAGAAGATTTTACATAAAAATGTTACAGCCTTCGTGAACAAAACTCCACTCAAACGAGTACGCCAACAAAGTTCTTTGTACAGTTGTTTTTTTTCAAAAACTTTTGAACACCAAAGAACAATTATAATTTCCTGAAAGCTTTAGCTAAATAAGCTGCGTCAAAGTAGCACACCAAATATTCGAACGCTCCGGATAATTTCCGAATAAATCGATGACTTCATTCTATTTTATTTTATTGCAAACGCCTCGAATGGCTTCGAGGCAGATAAAAGTCGTCCCCAAAGAGAAAAAGCCTGCCAATTATATTTCCTGACTGTGAGTCAAGATAAATCCGAATTTAAGCCTGTGACGAAGGTGGGTTTACGCAGCAATTTTTGTACAAGTCGAACAATGCTTGGGGAAACAAAAAGATATATTATACGCACAGCCGAAGCAGTGAAATGGAAATAAATTAAATGAAAATTGGAAAATTCGTTGTGCAAAATTAAATTACATGTTTGGCCTGTGTGACTGTTATCCAGTCCCAGGACAGTACGCCCCAAATTTCGTTGCTAGATTTAATTTTTTAAATTCACAACTGATCGATATTTAACCCTAACCAATTTGTTGAGTTAAAGTTCCAAAACCCGAGATCAAAAATTGTCAATGGCAAATATTCCAGTTATAATTAACGCGCTTACACCGATCTACGTTTCCTCCTAAGCTACTTAAAATGAGATACGACATCGATAAGAATTTTCAGATAGCCGTTATCAACGGATTCCCTTAATTGCTTCTGGAAACTGGAGAGCATCCAAAGTCTCGAGCGTTAAAGCCTGAACTAAGTTAAGAACGCCCCGACCGACCCTAATAAAAAGCGATCTTAAATGGTTAGGCAATCCTGGAAAATGTACTAGTTTCTAAGGAAAGAAGAATGTAGAATGACCGCATATGTTCATGTAATGTTTTCAGTGAGAAGTTCGTCTCTAGTGAATGCTTTAAGAGGCGCTCAAATAGAAGGTTGCCTAGATCTACGCTCAAGTTATGAATGCAATCAGTATCTTCCATTTTTAATAAACAGGTGCTTTATTTGTCCAAATCTTAATTTTCAAATGAAATTTTGTTTCTAGTTTGCAATACTTTCAAGACTCAATTTGAAAAGTGCAGCAGTCGAAGCTTTTTGCGCAATAAATTAATTTCTGAGACATTTTTAGCTCTTGCTTTGAAGCTAGAACGTTCATCAAAGTAACGTTTTATTTACTTCCTTAAAGCACATTCAGGCATTAGACAAATACCGCCAATAACTGAAAAATGCAAAAGGAATAAAACTGAAAACTTTAATGAGACTCTCCAGAATCTAATTCTTATCTACCTGCTCTTTTAGAATTCAAATATTATTCATTATATCAGAACGTAAACGCGATAGACCACGGATTCTGGGCACGTAAGGCGCTCTTATTTTTTCATTCCTTTGTCGATTTGGCCATCCATTGTCTTTTATCGAGAGGCATTTCGGAGGATAGATATATTGATTTAATCTTTCCAAAGTCGGCCGGCTTAAGGAATTTGTTATAGCGAGATTGTGTTAAGTTTACCCAATTTTCTGCTCGCCGAAAAGGGCGATACATTGAAAACTATCTCAAACCTGGAGATTTCATTTGATAAACTTACCGCTTTTCTGGCTAAACAAAGGTAATCTTTTCGAGTGGCGATTAATATTACTTTAGACGGAAATAAGTGATTTAATTTAAGAGCTTAACAAGTAGACAAAATCAAGTCCATTTATTGCGAATTCCAAAGGGGCTAAATTGCACAAAATTAGTGCATCGAATATATAACTTAAAAAATACTATATAATTATAGGCAATAGATATTTCTAAATTATGTCCATAATGTTCAAGAAAGTATAAACCTGAAAAATTTATCGGTTAAATGTTATACGCAGAAGATGAAATTAGTCAGGTCCTGTACATCCTTTGAGGAAGTTGAAAAGAAAAGTTTTGAAAATAATTAAAGTCGGTTTTTTTGCCGAGCAAAATTACACTTTGCGCATTTTAAATTTCAATATCCTAACACCCAAAACTTTATCGTCATATTTCAAAAGAAAATCGGTAACAAGGAAGTAAGTTTTTCCTCTGTAAATTTCTGGTTAATTAATTCTTAATTCATTATAAAAGGTTTTTTCCACCATAACGCTTCCGTTGCATTAATTGATTTCAATTTTTTAATTTCACAAAATACACTGAATTAAGTTTCGTACGAATAAAATGCTTCTCCAAAAACGAAAAAGGCTATTGAGACATTGTAAAAGGGATCCAGTTTAGCATAAGGGTCTCCAGATGACGAGGAAATTTTTTTATTGCAAATACAAATATGCTTTGACCATTTATTAAAGTATTGTGGTCATTGGGGTTTTATTATAAAAAGATATCTTTGTACTAAATTTTTGTTGATTATAATGTAATTTTGTTTCAGCTCAATACTCAACCAACGATCTGGGAGATGGACTTGGAACTGGAACATCGAAATTACAACTCACCCTTTCCCGAGGGGATTTAAATGCGAGATTTGAATGTCGAGTCGAAAGCGAAGCCTTAGATGGACCCATCATATCCTGGGTCACTGCAGATGTTCACGGTAAATATAATTCTTCTATTCCGAATAAAAATGTACAAAATTTTACCAAATTTTGTATATTTTAAGCTCATTTATTCTACATTTTGATTGCCTTTTAGTTCAGAAATCATAATTCTATATCTTGACTTTGATTGACAAAAGAAAGCCATGAAAAGGAAATTTATTAAAAGCTACGTTGTACGATCAAACAAAAATTGTATCAGGGATACTAAAAAAAGAGAGGAAGCTTAGAGGGCACAAATGATAAATGTCTTTCTTTGGTATCACTAGATTTAGTAATCACCAAAACAGTTCATTGAAAATCTAAATAAAAAATATTTAACTGATTGCTAAATGGCCACTTTCAGTATTCACTGAGGGGATTTTTATGAAAAATTGGAGATTTTGCACAGATAAGACACAGCATGATCTTTGTAATGATTAAGTTTTCCTGAAATGATCAAGATCACAAAAGTTGAATGATAATACGAGTTAAGAAAACTCAACAAGTGAACAAGTTTATTTAGATAAAACTTAATGCAAAGACAGTTTTTTGAAAGGACGATATGAAGACTTTGTTTAAACAAATATTTATGGTTTTTTCAGTTAAGTCAACTTATATGCATCTTTCTGGAGTAAATAACCATGTGGTGCAAGGTAGTAATGTTATGCTGATTTGCGATGTTCATGGTGCTAGACCAGCAGCGACCATTCGATGGACGAACGGATCCATTCCAATAACAGACGAAACTCTCGTTCATACCGGAATTGAAGATAATGTAAGTGTTTCTTTTCATTATTTAAACATTTGATGATCACTAGCATGAGCTTAGTAGAAGGATTTTTCTCGTGAAAATAGTCCGCTTCATAACTAATAAGTAGAATAATTTGCTACTTGAACACTGAGCGAAACTGTTCATTTTACGATGACCACATAACACATCGTAAACATCTTTCTCGTAAGAGGGTCCACCTCTTAGGAAAGAGTTATGCCCATCCACGTACACCATTTCGCGACACTTTTATCTCGCTTATTTGGATTTTATGACCGCAGGCAATTCTCCTGGATATTTTCTTGATGATGTGCACTCTAAAAATGAATTAGCAATCGCATTTTCGAATTTTATTTCTTTTTTAACCACACGAAATGGGTAATACCGTTTATTGCCCGTTCAAGTCTAGTAGATGAAAGAACGGCAATGAATTTGAATATTTGCAAAGTGATGTAGGAATTTTACTTCCGGTAACTACATGCATCGACTAACGACATGATAAAGAACTAATTATTTAATAAATTTAAGCGTTAAATTGTCTTTTAGAAAACTGCTTGAATGTATTTGATAGAAAGAAAAAAATCCTATTTTTTTATGAAAATTCTAAATTAAAACCATCATACTAAAGTAGCCATTTTATTAAAATTTGATTTCCATAATATAATTATAGAATTCAGTACAGTTCAAGCGGTGTTTGCCTTAGATCACGAAGTAGAGAAACCTATAAGCTCTTTATAATTCTATACACTTTCCCAAGGACTCAACATTATTTAATTGAAGTTAACGCATTTTAGATTTTTATTAATTTGTATTAGGTGTTTTTATTTTCACAAAAGCTTTCAAAACTGAATTGACAAACTGGTTTATTAAATTTTTAACAATCATCATGAGATATATGGCAATACTAAAGAAACCTATTAAAATTGCAAACAGTCAGAAATCAAAAGAAATAGAGATTCGCCAAATTTTCATATAGCAAATTGAATTTTGTTTTCTGATTCTAAAGGATTTTAACTTAAATTTTTAATATATTCATTTATTTATTTTTGGTGTTATACAATAGTTTTTGTAAATCATTGTGTTAACATCCCTCAGAACGATGAAACGTTTAAGCAAATTACCAATGAGAAGCTTATAATAAATTGAAAACGCTCTTTTAGTAAATGAGATTTGAGGCAAAAGAAAATAGAATTTGAATACATATACTGTTCTAGAATTTCATCACACTAATTTAATAAATTAATTTAGATGTCTGATTTTATTAAATTGATTTTAGCGCTTTTATGAAATTAATTGCATCTGCATCTGCTATTGCCATTGCATTATTAATTCATCAGAAAAACAATAAAGTGAGCTACTGTTCCTTTCGAATCAGTTTATTATCATTATTACGTTCACCGTGCTTGTTCATAGAATTTATAATCGAATTCCAAAAAAATCAGAATCCCAGATTTTTACCTAATTTTATCCCAGTTCTACCTATACATAAACACATAAACTTAGCAGTTTAACGGTGATGGCTTCCGTTTTTCTTAGTGTTCAGAGTCGTAATAAAACTTGTCGCAGAACTGGGCGCTGAAATTAATTAAACCCCGAAAAAGCGCCGATATCTGGCAGTTTAAATTGCAACAAGAGCAATCGGAAAAAGTGCTGTGTCGCTGAAAAATCCAGCAATCGTTTATTAGATGTTGTCTTTTATAAAATGGAAGCCCTCGTTCAAAAAAATTTAATGACTTTAGAGGAATTTCGTAATTTGTGCATTAAACTCAGCAGTCGGCTGGAAAAATACTAAAACTGGTTTTTATCAGTATAAAACGTTACGAGATTTGGAATTTCAGTGCGTCGCATTATGAACGTGCCATGGTTTATGCGCTATGAATAAAAATTACCATTTTTCCGCAAAAAAGTCATAGACAACCGAAACATGTTTATTTCAATGGGTGTATTATTTCCTGCTAATCTGACTGAAATGTAAAGGAATTAAAAACCATTTATGGAAAGTGGTTGCCAAATCAAATCTCGTCGCTTTTCAGCTTCCATTTACCTAAAACGTTACCATATTTTGTTTTTCCATGCTACGGAACATTTATAAATCAATGTTAAGCCATTTAAATATGATTATCAACTGTGTTTTCTGTTTTCAGCTTTTCTAATAACCTCAAGATTACTATTTGCGATAAGGAATGTTCACAATATTTGTAAACCTATTTTGAATTTTTCAGTTTATAATCATCGCCTAGTTTTTATTGATTCAACTTTTTTAGATTATTTGCAAATCATCGGAGTTCAGAAATTAGATATTGATGAAACACTGATATGCGATTTTTTATGCGAAAAATGAGACTAAAATCACTGAGCTCAGACCAAGTGTGATAGGTCAAAAATAATTTTAATTTTATACGGCAAAAATAATGTAACTATTTGAAAATATTCACATTTAACATTGTTTTATTTCTGTAACTTGTGAAAAAATTGAATGCTCTGAATTTTTGTTTAAAAGCTAAAGCAAACTGGGAAACTCAAGCATATCAATCAATTATTTTCCATAAAAAAATACCCAAGCCCAAAGTGAAAGAAATTAAAAATGTAGAGAAAAACTAAATAGTCGCATATCGTTACGTAACGGTTATTTAAGGGGTGTTTCAGAAAGTCTATTATAATTTGAAATTATCTCAAAAGCGGTCTGACGCAGAAAACCCTAAATATTGTAAAACTATTTCTATATAATGATATATTTCTTTATTAATTCATTGTTTATATTTCAGTCTCGTTTAACGACAGAAGTAAAATACAATGACGTAAGTAACTCTGTTCAGAGAGTTTCCAGTTAATTCTGCATGTACCCCCCATAAATCATGCATGATTTATTCCTAAGAAATGTCTCTTATTAGTCCTTGCCTAACTAAGTTTACATTAATTATTTTTCCCCCATTTGATTCAGTGTCTTTTAGTTTTCCTCGCTGTATTTAATTTTCACACTTTAATTTTTTAACTTTTACGTACTAAATTAATGGTTATTGTGTCAAAGTAAAACTGTTTCACTGAATAATATCACATTCATTTATACAAGACTGCACCTTAAATTGATTATACAGAAGTGATTTTATACATGGAAAGTGTCTTCTTTTCGAAAAGTTGAAAAAATTTGAAGATAGTAAATTTGATGACTTCTTAAAAGACATCGAAATAAAATTGACGTATGAGAAAAGTCAAACAGCAAGCTGTAATATGAACTAGATATGACCAGTATTCATAGTTAAAATGGAGACCGCAAAATTAAATTTTAAGCAAAAGTAACCTCGAAACAAGCCCAAAAGTAGTTTAGGGTTTTATAAATACAATGTTCTCGCTTGAAATGGCAACAATTCTAATCCAAAAAATACCCGCTTAAAATAAATTGAAGAAATAAAATAATGCTTACATTAATTTAATAGATAAACAGAAAACTCTGGTCAAAGTATTTATGTTTTATGTGCAAGTTGTAGTCGTAATTTAAATCTATTTTGCTTTCTTAAAACTGACCAAGACGAAATATGCGTAATAGGAAACTTATGTTATGTTTCAGTTGTAACGATGTATTTTGCATTATTAATATATTCATATATTATTCTACTTTACTTTAATATTAATTGCTACTTTTACATCGTCGAATATGTTTATATCCTGTCTAGTATTGCAGGCCTGTTTCCAAGCATTTTAAGTAGCTCCCCTAATTAGGCCATCTAAAAATAAAAAAAGCTGTACTTATACGAGTTTCTGTTTTCAATATTCAGCAATGGTTTCAAAGTTCTTGAAAGAAAGTTCATCGGCATAGCTCCTATTTAAAAGAAACCTCTTTACCGAAAACCGGCAATTCCATATGAACCCACTTGAATTTTAATTATACAGTATACAGAATTCAAGTAGCAATAAAAGGCAAAATACTGGCGTCTCTCAGGTCATAATTATTAAAGTACTTTTGCAAAATACGAGATTTAAATACCACTCTTAATTTTGCGTTTAAATCACTTAAGTGTTTCCAAGCGTGAATTGCACGAGCCGGCAATAATGCGAAAGTCTGTGCAAGTACGAACAATTACATGTTAAATGTACTTAACTATAATTGAAAATATTTTGTTTTCATTTAAACCAACAGACCTTCTGTTACCTCAGGTTGCTTGAGTTAACAAGACTCAGGTTTGCAGGGATTATGTCTATTGAGGGTACAATGAAAATGTATAGACTACAATAAGATGCAGATTCCATAATGTGTTTCTCAAGATGATTTAAAAGTGGACCCCATTTCCCTCAGCAGGTTTTGAAGCAATTCTGATATTTGAAAATTGAGATACTTTGCAAAGGACTTGAAATTAGTCGACAATGTCATATGAAACATCTTAGAAGATCTAATGTAGTTGATGGTTTTAAAAAATTCTTAACTTCGTTTTGTCCTACATTACAGTTATATGTAGTATATACTACTGGAAACTGTAGGATGAGAGATGAAAAAACACCACATGATAATATCAAGTTTTAACAAAGCGAAAAATCTAGCTTCACTAAATCAGCAGACAAAATTGCGAAAACCCGAGCAAAAGAATTGAAGTGTTCATAATTGAGGCATAAATTCAGAGAGTCTGTAATATTAAATTTTGAATAAAATATTAAAAATTAATTCACTGGTATTCTCTTGCGTAATAAAACAAAAAAAAACAGATTCCATCAGTGAAACTAATTGCTTTCCTAATGTATCTTTTGCCTTTTAACAAGTAGCCGGAAGAAAAGCATAAAAGAAATAAGGAATGGGCTGAAATATTGCGCCTGCGGCACGCAATTTTACATACAAAAGTCGCGGCGTTTCCTTTAATTTATTAGAGTTGTAGCAGTGTTTAACCTTAGAGCCGTATGTCTCCGTTTCTTTACATCTTATTAAGTTCTCCGTCTTTTAGTCTTGGATAAAACGTCGCTGGAAATTCAGAGCCAAACCGACAAAATTAATAGCTAGAGTCGAGAGTTTTGTCGGAATTACAAGTAGACCTCAATTTATTCGGAAAATGTTTATCCCGCAACTTTCCTTTTTTCGGTAGATAAAGAAAACCTTTAGCCAGTTCTTTCAGTGTTCTATGGCCCCATTTCTCAACCACAGCGTCATGTATTATACGGTAAAATACCCTTCTTACATGAAGGACTGTCTCAGGAAAATGAATAAAAACCATTATGCTCTAGTTATTCCGTTCTTCTAGATAACTAAAACCGGTCGCCTAGAGCAGTGTGACCTAAACTTTCAATAAATCAAAATGTGTAGCTCCCGATACAAATAGCCCATTCAAGAGTGGCAGTTTTAGAAATATGAAACTTTATTTTTTGAATTTGACAATTTTCAAGCAAATTAAGTTGTTTTATGACCAGAAAATAATCTGATACATTCCAGTTAAGAACGGGCACATTTATTCTATTCCTGATATTACAAACCATCTTTCGGAACTCGTTTGAATTTAATTTTGCTCGCTTAACATATTGCATTACTTAGTTATTTCATCAAGTCAAGTAATGTTTACAGGGAGGAAACTTAGTATTTAAATGTACTTTTATTGCAGAGAGATGGAACGTTTAACACAAAAAGTCAGCTCGTTTTTCAAGCCAGCCATTATGAAAATGGCATCAAGATACATTGTTATGCGGAAAATGAAGTAACAAAGCATAAAGGTGAACCGGAAGGGCATAAAGTTTTAATTTTGGAAGTGAGATGTAAGTATAATAGTGAGTTTCGGGTTTTGTGGCGCCAATGACAAAGCTGTTAAAGTTTAGGGGATACTTTAAACATACAAGCATATTTTATAAAATACTATATTTTCATTATGGTTAGGAAGCATTTGATGCTTTAATGTCAGGTGTGGGGTATTTTCCCATTACTATTATTGTTGAATCCAATTTAGTCATTCTTATAAGGCCACATTTCTAACGTTTGAACTGCTAACGTTTCTATGATTTTCTAGATTTTTGAAAGTTTTGAAGTGTGTCGAATCGGAATTAATAAAAGGGATATAAAATAAGCCAAAGTCCACGTTCGGGTTATTTTTAATAAAAATAGAATAAAAAATAATAATGTGAACGAATAATGAAAAACGTGAACGTTTGGCTCTGGTGCAATAATTGTTTGAGGTTTTGTCCGTGTATAAATTTAAGTAACCAAAGTGTTTAATTAATTAAATTAATGCTCACTTTCATCATGAAGAAAATTAGCTTTTTCTGCAAGTTGTTTTGATTGTGTTCCGTTCGAGTATTTTTGAAAAAAATCATATAGTTAAAAGTACTATAGTTGTAACATAAAATCACGTCAATCTTATTCAGTTGATGCGAACATGACTCAGTCAGTGAAAAATTAACTTTTTGAAAATTCAAATGCAATTTCAAGCTTTCCATTTCAGATCCTCCAGTTATATTGGTGAAACCAAAATATATTACAGTAAATGAGAGCACCGCAGTTTCACCAAACAATGGAACCCTACTAATATGCAGTTACAAAGCCAACCCTCAAGAGCTAAAGGGTGCTTTTTGGTAAGTTCCTCAGAGAAAAAATATGTGTTCCCAAATTTATTTCGAAAATTTGTGAAAGCAGTTTAAAAAATAAGCCGAATAAAGAATAATAAAAACACACCGGTTTTTTGTCAACAATAATTATATAACTTTTAAAACCGAAATATCAAAAGACACGTCTTTCTGTAGTAGTACCCTTCTTCTCGTATAAAACATCTAAAGTCAATGACTGCAATTAAAACTATAGATTGTGATTCAAGAAAAAATAATGCATCTCGGGGGAAATTTTCCTTTTAATGAAATAAATTTATTTGATAATTTATTTCATTAAGAGCTTTAAAAATAAAATAGTTAATAAAGCGTGCCGTCAAGACTTTATTAATCACGCATAGTATGTGTCCGTGGCCTTATTTACATAGCTAATTTTTTTTAATTTTAAATCCTTTCTGTTCTTTCTAGAATCATAATTATGCCAAATTCTATAAAAGTGTGATTAGAAAAATTTAATTTTGAACCATTTTTGTGATTATGACGCTCTTCCTGAAATACAGTTTTCAAAAGTTGAGAATGTTGGTTCCATATTGACAGACAAATATTCGATTTATTTAATTTAAAAATTAAACAGAAATAGTGCTTGTGACGCATTTTCTCGTTTTGTTTTTTCTTCTTGTTGTTTTTTCTTCATTAATTCAATAAAAAAATAATTATTTTGCATGATAACATTATATCAGCTAATAAAAACATCAAGAAAAGAGAAGGTCTACTAAGATAATACATTCGCATTAAATTGTATATTCAGTCATGAGCACGTGAAAAGTCTTAACAAATAGCACAATTTTCTAGCCATTTATCACGCCCACAAAATAGAACTTTTCAATGTTTAATTAGTATCACAAATGTACACACAATCCAAACAAATTTTAGTCTACCAACTTTACTCTAATTTTTAAGGTCCAAGGATGGAAAAAATTTAACGCTAACCGATAAAAATAAATACAGTGGTGGAACAATCGAAAATCCGCCACTGATAATATACAATGCGAAAAGAGACGATATGGGCGAATATAATTGCTGGCTCAAGAACGAGGTTGGAATGGAACAATCAGAAGACAGCATTCTCTTAAATGTACAATGTAAGTAATGCAACATATCATCAAACGAACCTAGTATTTGCAAATGAATGTTAGAACTGCATTGAAAAATAAATTTCTTTCAAGATATAAAGGCATGATCGCTAGATTTTTAATGGTCAATAGCATAATGAACATTTCAGATCCCCCAGACGTGGAAGTTCTCATGGATCCATCCACGCCAGTAAAAGCACGAGATAAAACCAACGTTATGTTGGAATGTAACGTCACTTCTGGGAACCCATCGAATTTGTCTAAGGTAACTTATACTGTGATTGATCATCATTACGATCCATTAGTCAATCTATTTTAAATGAGAATATTGACCTATTTCGGTGCAATTTCAATATAATACCATTGTCGGTGTCTGTTCCAACTTAAATTTTGGGGGATTTGATGGATCGAAACTTTGGTTACTTGCATTTTGCGATCATTTAGAAGGAAAATGGCTGAAGATTTATTGCTTTGCATTTATAAAAAAAGTAAGGAGAAGAATGTGTTTAAAAACTTGTTTCAACACCATCATTATCAATTACGAGGCGCTATGTAAATACTGAATTTGTAAATATTTTAAGTGCTAAGCGAGGTATTTTGCATTTTTTAGGTCAGATGGTTTCTCGACGGAGAATTAATGAAAGAATTTCCAGAATGCAATTATACGTCCAAAGACGACTCGGGCGGTCCCTTTTGTGGACTGGATCCGACCATTTTAAGTTTGGAAAGAGTGGATGAGACTTTTGCGGGCAACTACACGTGCCAGGGCGAAAATGTCGCTGGATGGGGACCTATTTCCGAACCAATAGAGCTCATCGTTTACTGTAAGTAAAAAATAAAACATGCAAAATAGTAACAATTAAAGCGTGAGCAGAGAATGTCAAGGCAAAATTAATTAATCCGAAAAGAGGAAATGTTTCAGGAACAAGGCAACTTGTCTAACTCATATTACTTTGTAAATTCCTTGACTCTTTAAAGAAAATTGGTAATTAAATACTTAAAAAAAATGAAAACTGCAATGATTTTGGCGCTATCAATTAGTAAAACATCGCTAACAAATTACACTGATCTTTCTTGCTTGTGAAAGCAGCATTTCTAAAGATACAAATTTTATATCCGGCTCGAAGGACCAATTTCTGCAATTAAGTTTATCTTTTTGATAGATACTAATTTCGTCAAAACTTGTTATTTAGTATAGGAACTACTATCAGGTTCCAAGTTTGCGAAAAACTGCCGGACATTTATTTGAATTGGACCCAAAGCGTTAGTTTTCAAGCCAAAGCAAAAAAGTTAAATTCCGCAACTGTTTCGCGTTTCCGTTCTGCATAAATGTTACATTTAATATGCCTATTTTTATACATTCTGTAAAGTACTTTGGCATTTTACACGTTCTAAGCATAAGTTAAGTAGCACTATGCATTTTGCCTCATTAAAAATTACTTATTTTGAGATAGGCTGCTGAAAAGGTCAAGAAATACATTTGTTATAAAAAAGTGGAGTCTTGCAACGTCAATCCTGCAACAGCACCAAACCGATATTTCAAAACTGACAATAAAAGTACGCATTCATAAATCATCACTTGCTCATCGGCTGGTGCGTTCAAACTAGGATTAAAACTGAAAGATTGGCTATTTTTTGTGGCTACTATTTAATTTGAAAAATCATGCTTGAGGCATTTGAATCATCAACATTGAAAAACTCTGCAAAGGAGATTTTTTTTGGATTCAAAGTGCAACAGAATTGCAAGGGAAATAGAAATGTTATCGATTACAAAACATATCGAAGCTCATTGATTTTTGTTAATCTTTACAAGACATTTTTAAATTAAATATTTTTGGAACTCACGCAATTGCTCTATTCAATCGTCGTGATTGTGATGACTCAACATTAACCAACAAAGATGGTAATATATGTTTCCATGGTTCAATAAAATTTACTTTTTTACATTTAGAGTTTATTTAATCCTATGCTTAGGGTCTAAAGCATCTTTCTATTTCAAGGCACTTAAATATGTTTGGTTTTTAGTCAGTGCTTGGAATGGGATTTTATTTACGACACTAGATTTTCTTTTATGGCACCAAAAAGCACATTACGACCATCTAAATCTAATAAAGAACATTGGAATATAAAAAGTCAGTTTATTGTCGACTCTCAGCGAACAAATTTCTGTTTAAAACCAGGGAAGTTACAGTGTAAAGGTTTTGGTCAAAATTTCAACAAAAATTACAAAAGTAGTAATTAATTAATATAAACAGCTTCATTGCATTTAAAATAATAAACTAAAATCTGGCGGTTGGAAATAAAGCAATCTTCTTAAGTCGTCGGTAAATTTTTCCATGGCAATAGTAATTTTCAAAATACGTATTATAAATCGAACATATTTGTGTTTCAGATCCGCCAAGTCCAGCAAACATACGATCGTATCCGACCAAAGTTGTAAAAGGGGCAGAAGTAAATCTGGAATGTAAAGTGGAATCGGCAGGAAGACCGGACAATGTTACCTACATTTGGTACAGAGGATCGCATCAAATGACCGAAATCACCACATCGAAACACAAAATCGTGCCTGTTGGTCTTGAAACCAACAGTAACTTTACTTGCATTGCAGTGAACGAAGGTGGCCAGAGTGATCCAGCCACCCTTTTCATTAATGTGAATGGTAAGAGTTAACATGTGAAACATCCCGAAAGGACTTTACGTTCAAGTAAACTTTCTGAAGGTTTTAGAAGTACTAAAGCGAATGTTGTGTTTTGATTGCAACTTTTTGTTCGGCAGCTCCTCCAGCACTTTTTGACCGATTGAAGCCCTATCAAGGAATTCTGTATTCGGCTCAACAGATCAACCTTACTTGCAGAGTTGAGTGTTCGCCTCTATGCAGCATAATTTGGAAGAGAAATGGCAGGATAATTGACTTTAACAATAAGCCATTGTATTACAACCAGACAATCAAGCATGATCCAGATTTGCAGAAGAACATATTCGAATCAATTGAGTCCACTTTGGTAAGTAAATACTAAATAATAATAATTATAATACGAATAATAAGAATATAGCAAATAATAAAAAGATTAAATAATTCTTGACTCTCTGACTGATCAGTTGCTCATCTAAGAGCTATCAATTAATCATTGGCAATTCAATTTTTTAATATGGATATAACTTTTATATTGAAGAGTTTCATTAAAAGTGTAATTTTGTATCTAGTGCTATATAATTTTCGCCACTTCCAAATATTTTATGGTTCTTCGAGTAGAATGACAAGTTAATTTGTTATGAACTGATTGGTTTTTAACACCACATTTGCTACTCATAAAAAGGAACATGCGATTGATTTTTTAATTTTTTTCAACAAACGCTTGACTGAGTAGTAAAGGATGATCTATTTTGTTGGTCTAAGAGAGAGATATTGGAAAATATTAAGCAAGGTGGACAAATGACAAATTTAGATTCAATTTAAAGTTGCGTTTCAAATTCATTGGTCATTTGGTAAAATTGCTCTTAATAAATATGGCGACCTTTTTTTGTTAGGTGTTGAAATTCCAGCCTCGGGCTTCGTAAAGCTTTAATCCGCCCTTGCGTTAAATGCCAAGCCTAATTAAAAGTGCGGCAAAGTGAGACGCGATTAGTTATAACGAAAAACTGAGAAACGAAAAATGCCTTACAAGTTTAAAGCTGTGCGTGCAGAGTAAAGAAGAGTGCGCTCTAAATGACGTCAAAATTTCGAACTTTACTCACCGTTAAGGAAATGTTGCTTAGGATTTGAAAATACTGTTGCAGGAATACATTTTGTATCGCGTTTATCAAAAATAAATTTCTCAGGAACAAAAAATCTACAAGATTAGAGTTGCGCCTTCACTAAAGTAGGGTGTGTTCTAAATGTCGTCAAAATTGCTTCAAACGTTCAAAAGTTCATTCAAATCGCATGAAATGCCGAATTTTGCACGCTTTGTAAATGTTGATTTGCGCGCGCCCAAAATATTCCGGAAGTTTAAAATTTACTACGAAAGAACCAATAGCGATATAATCGATACCAAATCCACCCTACAAGTCAGTTGATGAATATGGGACTAAAAGATCTACATGTCCCTGGAAACCAGGGCAAAGTATTGCTAAGCTTACCGAAAGCTGCGTGGTGCCACCTGGAACGAAAGAAGAAAATGTGTTTAATAACAGCAGGAAATCTGTCCAACGCCAACTTTATTTGAAATCAGCACATCAAAGAGATCTCTTCTTTGCTTTGCTTGCAATATAAGGAATCTATAAAACTTCAGTTGCTTGTCGGAAAACTAAACTCAGTTCAAGCTATCAAGCTAAAAGGTTTAGCTTATAGATCATTCTTACCAGTTTTTTACAGGCTGGCCCATCCTCCATTTACTTGCTTTACGGCACTTGCCATAAGGGCCACAATAATTCTACATTTCCTATCTAATAACGCGATTATTGACTGATTTCGTCTACTGTCGATAGCAAACTGAAGATTCATACACTTTTCGCAAAGCAAAAAACACACCGAACTAGAGAATAAAGATGATTATTTAATCATTTAATTGTTCGCCCTTTCGATGATTCGTGCTTTACTTGGCAGTTCGATTTCAGTTTGTTTATTGTGGGCATTTTTGAAGAAAGTGCCTGTTCGCACGTAAATATTTCCAAAGGCAAATTTTATGTTCCAACTTAACGAAGGTCAACTGCAACTAAACGAAAAACGCTTCAAGTGCCGATCTTTCACTAATTTAATTTTAAATTTAGAGCCATTTGTATTTGTTTAAATTTCACTCAGCTGCAGTGATTAATACACAACGCCAAAGCTGAAATTAACAACCGAATTAATTTTGTTTTTCTAAAAATATTGACTAAACAAAAAAACAGCAAATAAATCACTTAAAATAAAACTGTTGCGCAATTTGCGAGCGATGATGGAACCCGACAAAATTTCAACGACTTAAAAATTTATATTTATTTTTTTGTTTTTCCTGAGAACGCTTATTTGAAGGTTGTTTGAGAAGCAACAAGTCGAGAAAAAAACTTATTTCAAAATAGTTAATACAAAGTGACTGTAAAAGTACTTGGGGTAATGCATACGGAAAATATTTTCAGACAAGTCGAAATATTAAGTTATAGAATATCATATTAGATTATTTATATTATAGTAGAAATATTAATATTAGTAGATACAGGCGATTAATGTTTTAATTTCAGTTTTTTGTTGAGACGTTGGAAACTTTTCATAAAGCCGAATTGAAAAAAAGTTTTCACTTTTGAAACGAGATACCTATTTTAAACTTCGATATGCCCTAAACGTGACTTTTACTCTCTTAACTTTAAAGCAATAGGAAAATATCAGGTAACGCTATATAAAAAAGACAAATTGCTGAATGCTCTCAAAACGAAGGGTTGTAAAATCGGAAAGGTTCTAATAATTATTCCATTTCTTCAATCGGTTCTGAGATAAAAATGGAAATTATGTATAATGTGTCTTCGAAACGTTGCGATCCTAACGAAGGTGTGTAATGATATTTTACCATGTTATGGATAAAATATTGCTATTGTGACTTTATTATCGGAGTTTGTATAACCAAACAATCAAATATTTCGCAGCCCATCGTAGGTATAGAATGTATAACAAAAAACGTATGTTTGCTTATTTACTTGCTTGTCTTTAGAGGTTCAGCGTTCTGATGAACATCCTGTGAAAGGATGGCTGGATATTTATTTTCGTTTCTCAGTGTCCGAGAGGAACGTAAGACATTGGAGTTTTTGGACGTTTTTGAACCATTTATGCTCCTATCGATTTCCGCTAAAAAAAAATTCTGTTTAAACTGATTGTTTGGGTCGAGTTTCTGTACGGCTATTGAAAACGTTTTTAGGCTGATCTTCATTAATCCCAAAGATAAGGCACTTTCAAATTCAATCTACCTGCAAGAGGGCAAAGCCCTGTCCAAACATACTTTTCTAAATGGTTTTTACTATGGAGGCAATATTTCTGAGTCTTTGAATCTAAAACAGCAATGATTTTCAATTTTTGAGAGCGTCTTTAAAGGTAAAGCTTTACTTGGATTTCCAACGCCTGTAAGATAATCTATTTGCACACGCAAAATAATAATTTCCATACAGACAAAAATAGCAAAATTATAGTAACACGATGTGAAGCTTAAAATAACACTGGCAATTTAAGAATGCAATAATCTGAAATAGAATTCACAAAATGATACTTGGCTCATTGAAATTATCATCTTTTACGTGCTCGCGCAAAATAAATCTTAAGATAAAGGTTCTAAAGAAGTTACTAAAGCTAGGCAATCTTGAGAGAATGTGATCCAAATACTTGCTGAATGTAGTTGATGAGACAAAATAATTCCAAAATTGGTTTTATTATTACATATCAAGCGCATAATTAAAAGCATGTTGGAATCAAGAAAAAAATCTGAAAGTATATCTCAAAATCCGTTGTTGCTTTCGATCCACAAATTATCAACATTTAAAAACCAAAAAAATATCTTTATAAATGAGTTGGAAGTAAAATTGTTATTCCAACTCGCTTTGAGTTATATGCAACGTTTTTTCTGGTTGGAGGAACCCTAAAATTCCGTCCTCGCACTCGAACTAATCAACCAATAATGATCTGGAATAGATCTTATCTGATCGATTGATAGCTCAAGACGATTTATTCCGCACAGTTTCATATTAAAGCTCGGTTTTTTATCTTTTTCAGATATGGAATATGACAGCTTGGCCTGGCAACAAGCTCAACCGCACAGCTCCTAACTCCAATTACACCTGTCAGAGCGAATCGAACCAGATTGGGCCTGGGGTCAGCTCTACGATCGAAATTGCGGTAGATTGTGAGTATTAAATCGGTCATTCCATTAATGATTTGCTTTTAAACTGTCATCATTTTTAATTTACCAATTGTTTCTAAATAATCACATTTAACTAATCCATATTGAATATCCAGTACTCGCATTAATTATGGAACGATGCATACCTAATAGTGCCCGCAAATCTATCAGAATTATACCAGATGTGCCTATTTAGTGCATAGTCCTCATTTCCAGGTTATTAATTTGTCGAATCCAATTAACAACGTTGAATTAAACATTATTGCTGAAATAAAATCTGCAGTTCTTTTATAATATTTCTAAAAGTTGCAACATTTTTTCAGCAAATTACCATGCACGTTATCCTATAGGTTAATGTCGAAACCATCCAGTAAATTTTATTACAATATAAAATAGTGGTGAAAGACTTTTATTAGTTTTGAACGCGAATTTTTAGAGGTCATAATTTCATTTATGTTTAGTGAATACATTTACTAGCTGGAGAGAAATAGCCACACGAATTTACGAGGCATATTTTATTACGAGTATCTATATCGCTCTATAAATATCATTGGACACAACTATGAATAAAATATACCCTTTGATCCCTAAAGATTTCATCGGGGTTAATAGTTCATAAAACTCCTGTTATTACTCTGAGGGYGCTTATTAACYGCCGCAGACCATTAAATATTTTACCCTCCTAAATTTTACACGCTTAACRCGATTCTAAAAAAAGCAGCAATYATTTGCGGTATTTTTTGCAGAATATAAAAATAATGCGTAATTATTTCAAATATTAATGGTAGTTTCCTAACAYGTATRTKTTCATTTAGTTTTTTGATATAATAATGAATGAACAATTTACTTTGAGCAGTTTGTACTAATTTATGTGTATATTGACTAGAAATATGTATTCTRGTATWTCMAAAWTCACAWRAAAACGAGTAGAAATATRARGTAATGATTAATCCTAATGAAAATTAATACMATATGAAAATCACTTCCTAACAATAARTATTTTTGAGTCGTTTTYYMTAMCCAAAACTGAAAATACCTAATGAAATAACCTAAACACTATTTTTTTWWATTGTTGAGTTTGTTTGGGAARCTKTGGAAATATGAAGCATTTAGAGTCAGACTTGGACAAGATTAGAAATTACATTATCAAGAAAGAGGGCAATTTGATATTTCTTGAATCTTAGCTTCCAAAACTTTAAAGATACACGAATGACCAGTAGTCTCGATATAATACCTAATAATTTAATGCATATCTTCAATTTGGTCTAGAGACTTATAAAATACTYWTAARAGAATTATAATTGCATRAAAAAGTGACTAGTAAGAAAAKATTTCGATATTTCGAAAGCATTATTTTGTTGMRWTGTGATAAACTTTTAATAAAGTTTRTCACYGAGCAACAATATGTWTTTTATKTGTCGTATACTTTATAATTTWAACATTTTMRCAAATGCTAGATCAAATACMGCGTARTGAGATAATATTCCATAATATTCATGAGCGATTGGGARCCAATTTTATTCTATTCTATTCYATTTTAAGGCAATCATTTTTTGTATGGGCAGTAGAAAAAGGGCATCTTTGGAAAGTTCAGAATGTCTAAGGTCACACAATAAACTGAGTGCTGTTTTATTCAAATGATCTTCTTTATTGGCGACCGAACCAAGAACTCTCTTTTGAATTACAGATCCTCCTGAAGATGTCTACGTATCAACGAAAATAGTGAAAGTCATAGAAGGACAAGCTCCAAACCCTGTAAAATGCCATGGAAAAGGCCATCCCAATCTCACATACAAATGGAAGAAAAACTCAACTGCTGAGCCAAGAGAGTACGGCGAGGAACTCAGACTGGGTCCGATGATCCGATCCGATTCTGGAACATACATTTGTGAGGCTTCGAATAAACATGGCACTGAAAATGCCGTTGTATATTTCAACGTAATGTGTAAGTAAAAAATATATTTTTCAGTTCGCTTAATAACTCGCTTAGTTATTGACAACAAAAGCAAAAGAAAAAAAATATGGAAAAAATGTTTTTTTTATTTATTAGATGCTCCGGAATGTTCCATAACAAGAACCGAAAGAGATGGAAGTCCAGCTTTGCTCTGTACTGTTCAAGCCAACCCTCAAGAAGTGTCTTTCTTCTGGAAAGCGCGAGAAGGAAACGAAACCTACAGCATTGTGAACAACAACAATATCGTTCAAGATGGATTGAAAAGCTTTTTAATTCTGGATTCGACCGTCGACACTAAACGCACTTACCAATGCTTTGCGAACAATTCAGTGGGGTTGAGCGATAAGCAGCCGTGCGAAATGGATGTAGCTGGTAAGAGCAGGAAATTCAAAATAAACTGAGAACTCACTCAATCAATTGCATTCTATGCAGGAATTCTACCATGGTGGAAGCGCCTGACCAAGGAGAACCTCTACATAATCATAGCCAGTATAATAGCCATCATTATCTGCGTGATAATAATCTGCATAGTTATCATCGTTCTATGCAGGCGAAAGAGGGCGAATACGAAATGTGAGTCTTTCTTCAGTGTGACCGCACTTTTATCTTTTCCCAGCACTTCCCCGCAGAACCGATTTAGATACTTTGCTTTTAGGGAGTAAAAAATTCTAGCAGTCATCTACATGTATAAGACGCAAAACTCTTTAGTATTAAAGTAAATATATCTGTCCAATATTAACATTTGTAGCATTTGGAAGTTTTGGCCGAGTGTTTTGGGAAACATGTGAATAGTCACTAATATCACTATCACGGCATTTACAGTCCAATTGCCTAAATTATGGAAATTACGCTCCGTTTGATGAAACATTGCTATTTTGGAAATATCCACGATTTTGGGGGCGGGTTTTTAAATTAATTGTTTCATGTTTTTCACCAAAAACTTGTTTATTGGTATATTCTATCGAGAAAATATAAATGAGAAATGGTAAAGTGAACCACATTGTGAAAACACTTCGCCAGCAAACAATATGTTTGTTCTTGCACCAGTTCTACTTAATTTAGGCAGCAAAACGACAAAAATATATGGTTTTTCTACAAATTTAAGAATTTTCCTGCACTACTTAGATTAGTAGGTATAAAAAGAAACCGTCGAATTATACGTTGATTTTTGATGAAACCACCTACATTTTCAATCAAATTGCACCAGATTCTTGCACCATATTATATATTTTTTCGAGATGTACATTAATTTAGTTTGTGAGACTCTACACCACAAATTAAAAAAATTGAACTAGTAGCAAAGTTTACAATTTTATAAAAGGTAAGTTTTGTGTGTGTGCATTTTTCTTTGTGGTTGATAGATTCTATTAGTAGCACTTTAGCTGTCTATTTCCACTCAAATGAAATATTTCGATTTGGTTCAGATTACAAGAGGATCCGAATTATTACGCCCATTTCGCGAAAAAATCCAAAAAAAAACAAATATTAAACTTTTGCCTTTAGAAGGTGCAAAAAATTCTTAATATGAAAGCCACGAATCTACCTGACAAATGATTTATTAACGTTTAAAGTACGGAAACGTTAGTAACCGGTAGGAATTTCAAAGTATCTCATAAAGCTTAATACCCAATTAGTTATTTATTCTAAAATAGTATAGACATATAATATACAAAAGCAATATGGTAGAAAGGGCTGGAATACTTTTTAGACGGCTGTATAAGCTAAAACCTTGTAAGAGCATAATGGTCGACCATTTTAAGACAAAAAACCAAAGTTGAAAATGTAGACGCAGAATCAATATCAGTATATCTAAACAAAAACACAAAACCCTAGAAAGAGTCTATTGAAAACCGAGTCGAGAAAATTACCGATGAATTTAAAAAATAACCAAAACCGTTACATTAATTGACCAGGAAATGAGAAAATCAAAGAAATCACCAATAAAAAACGGATTATAATGAAAAATGTTAAGTAGGCAAAAACATTGAGGAATACCGTTTACTCTAAAACAGTAACAATCCCAAGATCACCTAAGATCACAAGTAATCATCCAATTTAAAAAGTATTTTAAAATGTTTAACACCACTTCCATTTAATCAATTGAATGCAAATGTACGTACGCCAGTTTATGTGAAATTGCAAAATATGTTTGCTAAATCGTCTTACAACCACTATACTTAGTTTTTTAATTAAACTTGTAAATAAATCATTCCACAATATGCTATGGAGTATTTTCTAGATCATCGATTTTTATTTGCTGACACTAACGCTGTTTTCTTTTTGTTTTCGCTAACCCTAAGCAGATAATAATCCCCTGGAGATGGAGGAACGAGAAAAGTAAGTTGATTATTATTTGAGCTACGGGCACATTTATATTTAAAATAGCAATACAGCACACATGGTGGAAGTGCATTAACGGTGGAGTAGAATGTGCAATAGAATTTGTGATAAACTGCTTTTTTTGTCATATAAAGATGAATTTATCATATCATTGCGAACGTTTGCTTGTTACGATGCATTGTATAGTAACTGGAAAAATTGCATTATTTCGTAGTAGATGACGTTCTAGTGGAGAGCGATCTGGAAAAGGCTATACCAAACCCAACAAGTAGCTATGAAATATTTTAAAATTTAAATATTTTAAAATTCATAAAAATAATACATTTCGAAAGCCCCATATTTTTAAACATCATCGCGATAAAGTATAGCGAAAATCGTCAAGGAAAATACGCTTCTATTCATGCACATTCCATAATGGGATAACGGTGATGACATGATATCTTTATCTTACATGATTTATGGTTTTTGTTTTGAAATGATACAGCTTACAGGCAGAAAGAATAAAGCGACCCTTTTTATTTTATTTTCGATTTTTTTTTATCTTCCGCACTAACTCGGGCAAAATGGCACCCACGAGGTAAGCAGTTTGCAAGTCTGGTCTCTGTGTGATTTGTTATTTTACAGTTATTATTCATTTTCAAATTGTTCTTGCACATTTTTTAGTTTTGCAATTTGATTTCTATCGCAAATTAGTATTGCACTTATTGCTCGTATATCAGGATGATCAGATTGAAAATGTGATGAATTAAAAAGTTTGCAATGAAATTTTTTTTCAACAAGAACGAAGTGAGAAAATTGGACGGTTCACAGTCTTTAAATATTGGCTGAAATTAAGGAATTTGAAAACAAACTAGGCACTGTCCTAAGTAAACAATAATAATTGTATAATTGAAAGAAAATTGATTAGAAATACTCCTGTAAATAGGTGTGCTCTAAGAGTAGTACAGAAGCGATTTTCATTGCAATTTCAATCTGCCTTCCTGATCTAACACTAGTAACGCAATTACCACCCTACACGGCTTCATATTGGATAACCCCTTTCTGCTGGAACTAACATTTCTACCATCCTCAGGTTTCTGTGCTCCCAAAGTCCAGACGTGCTTGGCTTGCCTTTAGTGCCCTGCGGTAGGGTTACATACTTGGGGAACCAAGGTACTTTTTCACCTGTTTTCTAATTTCGTCCAATTGATCAATCCACTGCAATTGAGCTTTGTAGAATTATGTGTTCTCGTCCGTGTAAAATCAAATTGTATTCAAATTATTCTCTTAAGAATCAGACGCGCAATTAAGATTAAAAACAATAATAATTTACATCCTATTGAACTCTCTACTCCACGTGGAATGAGCTCGAAGTAGTTAAAAACCAATAGAGGATTATTTTGAATTGATACTATATTTACGTAAGTGCATAATTTTTATTTAAAAAAACTAAACGATAAAAGCGACTGGAGGAGAAAACGTTTACACGTAAGCTATTTTCCCAACCACGCTATTGACTTAAACTTGAACTTTACACAATTTTTAACTTTATTTCATTTGTTCATTAAATGAACTTGAACAAACCTATCTGGTTATATTGGTTTGGGTGCACTTTCAATGCAACTTGACACATAATTCTAAGCTTGAAAATGTAAAAACCATGTCGCATGAAGGTGATAGATCTACGACGAAATTCTACGATCTACGGAATGATCATTTTTTGGATTATCAGTGAATTGTGTCGTGCATAATATTGAAACCGCAATTTGGGAATGTGCATGCATTTATATTAACGATTGCCAAGTACATTAGATAACTTAGTGCACGAAACTGTGATATTCAACCAAGAACATTGAAATCCTAATCGCCTCTAATAAGGAACGACTAACTAAATATTTCATTTAGATTGTAACTTTTTGAGTTATTTTTTGAGCATAGCAGAATCTAAAATTTTTGCTTGATAAATATAATTTTCCGAAAATCTCGAAAATCATTAGGCAGCAAAAATTATCAAATATGGAATTACTGGCCACATAGGGGAAAAAAATACATTCCAGATATTGAACGTAATATTTAAAATGTACTTTTTGGGGCTCTGTTTGTTTATTCGGGATGTAAATAAACACCGGCTCTCAAAACATATCAAACCCTCTATTTGCTCGATATATTTTGCCCGTGACCTCAATGTATTATTTGTCCTCCTTTTTCGGTGTAGGTTCAACGGATATACGCGTAGAAAATGACATAAGTATTGCAAAATATTCCTGCTTGAATTTTCATTTGAAACATTTTTTTGTAGTTTTGTTCTGTTTTTTTATGTTTTGCTTTTGCTTTGACCTAAATCTATAGGCAAGATGACGATGCCGCCATCGACCAATCGAAGTGGCCTCTTCAGCCCGGAGTTTTGGTTCATGTCAGTAAAATGAATAACGTTAGTCAGCTAAATGTGAGCACAAGTCCATTTAGAACGACTTCGATAAAAACCAGCACTTGCCTGAAATTCCGAAGAAATAAAAGTAAGGTTTATGCTAGACTGAAATGGTTTAGAGACGCATTAGGTAGAGGTAGCTGTGAAAGGCCTTTTGGCATTAAGGAGCGCGACTGTGGAGGTAATTTAGCTTTAAGTTTATTTTTTTGTTTTTTTGATAGACATGGCCATTCATTAATATGCTGAAAAAGTCAGTAGTAACATTATTTTCCATAAACATTTATAACATGACGTTCCCATACTCATGAATGGAACTGCTTTCTGATGACGATAATGAGCAAGTTATTTAACGAAATATTGAAAAAGTTTTAGGCTTTGTTATGATATTTGATTGTTTTTGCATGTTAGTTGTCACATTTAAAAAGATCAAAACATCACCGACAGATTCAAAGATGGACATTATCAACCCACGGAAAAGGAAGAAACCTGGTGACGGTAAGTAGAACTCAAAATCGCTCATAATATTTAAATACGCGGACTTCTCTCGACGAATATCAAACGTAAAGGATATAAATGGAATACTTTTCCTGAAAATTTTCAATAGAGTGTTGATTTTTGATGCAAGCAATACAAAAATGTTGATTGTATTTATTAGAACGGCTTTAAGTGTTTAATTTCAATTAACTCAAAGTCATCAAAGCCAAAAATGTTCTACAAACAAAACAAAATTCTACTTGATGAGAGTTTTATGCTTAAACTGCAATAATTCACCTATTAATATATAATAAGACAGTCTAACAACGGTCCAACGTAATAATTTTTACCAAAGCGAAAGATTAATTTTCTTTAAATAGCTAAGTAATCCCAAAGTGCTCAAATTTTTTTTATGGATATTGAAAAATATTTTGCTGAAAAATATAAACAAAATAATAACGTTGATGCGAAACATCTAGACGTGCTATTAATATAATACTTAACATCAGCTAAAAAGCTTCAAATTATTCAATTTACACTGGTTGAAAATATAGCAAAAATAAATTATTCTTAATTATTTATTTCTTAATATTATTATTTAAATCTATTGATTGGTCACTTAATAAGTCATATAAAATCTGAATCCGAGTTTTTAGAAGTAGTAGCCAAGTAGGTTACAACCTATAATCTGTATTCCAATTCTGTCTAAAAAAGTTACGGCTTTCTGAAGAAAATCAAGTTTGAAGAAATAATTTGGAGGTGAAATCAGCATTTAATATTAAATGTTACCTCTACATAAATCTTGTATAAATCAAGTTCTATATTAATTAATATCATTATATTGTAAGTAAGGGACTTGAATATGTAATACTTTTATTTAAATACTTAATTATTAAAAAACTATAATGTAAAAAATCCTTCAAAAATATTAATTCTAATTACAGTTTGTGTAGTTTCTATTTTCAGTTTTCATATTTAAATCAGCAATTCTGAATTTATAAATCGTTTTTTTGTGTAATCAAAGCAAAAACTGAAGCCCCAAATTGCATTATTTTCTTAAACTGGTTCCTACAAAGTTGGAAACTACTTTTAAAACTGTATCGGTTCTATTAATGCGAAAGCTTACTTATGATGAGGTAATTATTTTTTGCTATCACAAAACCCAGCTATTCACCGGATCGGAGAATATTCAGGTAGTTGTCTTCCTTTTTAGAGAAACTTCTGACCTCATTCCTAACTAATTAAAAATTACGAAAGTTACGTTATCGCTCCCCTTTATGCAACAAAAATCGCGTTTGAAAAACCAAACTTCAAAGAAGAACTTTTAACGACGTTACCGAAAATAGTTAGTAATTACCGGACAAGGAAACTAACCTGGACTGGATAAAAATAACGTAATGAGTATCCTATTAAAGTGTCCCGTAAAGCGCCTTCCTATAATATATGGGAAACTTTTCGGAAACTTTTACCATTCAGCTGCGAAATTATTAGAAAAAGGCAACGAGCGCATAAAGGTTTTTACAAACTTTCGTACTTTGTATCGGCCGGAAAGCGGCGTCGTTGAGTTACAAGATACCTAAAACTGTTTAATGTACTCTTTGTAAGTTAGCGTATTAGGATGCGCTCTGATGGCATTAGATCGTAAATACTGCTAATACATTTTTATGATCTGTGTCGAAAAATAAACGTGTTTTAGGAAATAATTTTAATAATTAGTAAATTGGTGCCTACTTTCACTGTCACACAGAAACGCTTGCATAAGTATGTGATAGAACTAGTGTTAATCTTCATTGGGCAGCTACATATATAAAAGAAGTTATATTTCGACCTACAAGGAAAAGTAAGAAAGGGGCAAAAGTACTCAGAGCTCAAGTTACAACATCAGCAGAAACGAACCCATTTTAAAACCGATCTAAACAGTCAAGTGTCTTCGAGAAATGATAAAAAATCACTTGGCTTCAGTTTAGGAGAAGAAGAAGATTTAATGTTTAAATGAAAGAGCTCAGTTAGGTGAAATTACCTCATTCATGGACGCTATTTTCTAAGCTTGTAAAAGCAGGATTCTTCGGATAAAACTATTCGCATCTTTAGAGCAAAGTATTATCTAAAGACGGCGAAATTTACAAGTCCATAGGTGCTTCAGTATAGTAAATGCGAATGTTTCAAGCTGACAAAATGCACGATTTGTGTCGATTTTAATCAAACTTTCAGTAGGCATCGCTAGAATCAGTTGTCTGAAAATGGTGAAAATTTTCGTTCTCTGCTTATTTTATTTTATAATATGCGAATGTTTAAATGAAAGAACGCCGCTAGATAAAAACTTTCATTTTGAGAGGTGAAGTTGGAGCAGGATCTGCGCCAATCTTTATCCAGCTCTCGCAATCTTTAGAATCAATATCTTCTAACGACGGTGAAATTTTCAAGTCCCACTGTAATTGAGGTTGGTAGAGTTTCATTTTTAAATGAGAGAGGCCAGTTAGGTAAAACTTCCATTTTGAAACCGATATTTATTACGCTCTCAAAAAGCAGGATTAGAGCTATTTTTCTGAAGTTTTCGCTATCTTTAGAGTGAATTGTCCCCTAAAGACGAGAAAAATTTCAAGTTTCTTGGAATTCAGTTTCAGCTTGGAAGACTTGAATTTTTAAGCGACAGAGCGCAGAAAGGCACTTATATATATACACTAATATTTTAAGTCTAGTGTCTTCCACAGATAGTAAAAATTTTAAGGTCTTACGTGCTTCGGTTTGAAAATTGGATGTTTTTAATGATAGGCTCCATGTGGGTTAATGCCTCCCATTTTTATACTTGTTTTTAAGTTGCGTCACTAAATTCAAGCGTGTCGTCTTCAGATATTGAAAATTTCAAATTGCTACTCGCAATAGTTTGTACTGTAAAAACTGTATAATAGAAACAAAAACTGTAGAATTGTTAAATTTAGGTCATTGTTTTTCCCGTCAAAACCAGCATCGTACCAGAAGGTATCGGCACAACACTTTTTTTTATTTTTTCCAAGTTGGGCAAAAAATTTTGCTGTAAATTTAAAAAGAATAATTCATTTTTATTTATTCGATAATACATAGTTACATTTTGAAAAAGTTTTAATTTTCAGACTCAACTTTTGAAAACTCACTTGAAGTCGTACACAATGATAGTGAAATTGTTAAAACTTCTAGAGCTTAATTTGTTTAAAATACAGCAGCAGCATCCCGTTTTTCATCATTTTCGTCTAAACTCTTCAAATATTTAAAAATTGTTTTCTCAAAGCGCACATGGTTTATTGGCGGGCTAGTTTTAGAATATTTTTGAATTATCATTTCGACATCGATTTAAGCGAGATTTTGTTAAAAATTGCACTTTAATTTCGCAAAAAAATTCTCGAATTTTCCGCTTTACGAATACTGGCTTCCATTAGGGTAATTTTAACTTTGGAAATTCAATTTTATCAAACTATATTGGACTTATTATTGCTCAATTCTAGTGATCTTTTATGGAGTTACAGAGCTAAACGTGTTCGTGAAAAAATTCGTGATAATATGCACTTTTCACTAGTTCCAGTCTAGACTGACGATAAACGAAACAAAATATAATGAAAGCTACTTTGAGCATTATTAATTGTAAACTCACTTAGAGTATTACCCAACTTCTAAGAACCATCTAAAACACGCTAATTCGGAAACATTGAGATAATAAGAAGATATCTAGAAAGGGACAGCACAAACTTAATATGTATGAATTATCAAAATTGAAAGAAATGTAACAAAATTAAATTAGATACTTAGCTGAAAATAGGCTCAAACACACTGAAATAATAAAATTTCAAGTCAAGTTGAAGTTTTCAGTCTAAATAACAAACTATTTATACCATTTATCAATAAGAAACAGGTGGTACATAAAAGCGCAATAATGTATGTATTAGCCTAATGACCATTTGCATGGAAATAGTTAAGTGTTTATGTTGGTTGTTATAGTTCAAACGTTCAAGGCATGTTTCGTTCTAAAACAGACTCGTAGTCTTTAGGTACATTTGCTATCAATCAAAACAACTAAAATGGAACCCTTGAAGAAAAATTGAATCACACATTTTCCATAATGATAAAATCCCGAAAAAGTATGATCTATACACGGAAGTATTCTAAATGTTTCTCCGACATCTTTTCAAGCAATTCTAGAATATTTTATTGTATCAATTGGGTGTTCTGAAAGCCGATAAAATTTACCCTTTCGCTAATATGTCTCTGTATGTATATTACAGCGCCCATCAACCCATCATCTACAGTAGGAGATAAGATAAGGCCGGGGGTTGCCCCACCGGTTGGAAGTATGCAGGACCACCCCCTCTCCAACAATACCGATCCCAACGACAAAGGTTTCTATGAGAACCTCCCCTTCCATGGCATGCAGAACCCACCAAATAAGGTAGAACATTCCTCCTCTTATGCACTGACTTCCTGTTGCGGCTTGGAGTTACCCTATCACTACCTAACACTTAACAGTAATCTACATTTGTTCTTTAAATCTACACTGATAGCTTCGCAATAGTTTTCTCACTGCCCCTAAGATCTGTATTTGAATTGAAGTGATCAAAGCGACACACCCATTGTGAATTCTTCATTTAATTCGAAGTGCTTTCGATCTTACGCCCAAAGTGAACAATTAATTATCCAGTTCACCTTTTAGGTTTTGTCTATATTGATATATTATGTACTTAGCATCAAACTGTGTTTCTTAAACAGTACACAGAGCTCATGTTGAAATTGATCATCGTCATCATCATCGTCATCAAATCATGACAAAATTGAAAAAATGATAGAAACGGCAAACAAAACAGCACAGGACTGCTGACAAATGTTCTAATCGATTTACAAAAAAATTATCAAAATTCAATATTGGAAACATGAATTTAAAAATTTTATTGATCGGTTTTTAAATAATTCCCAACTTTATGTACAGTTAGAAATGAAGAAGTGATCAGCGGACTTAATTATTACATGTCCAGTATAAAAAAATCATGAGCTTAAGACACGGTGTATGAAAGAAACTTGAATTCGATGCAGAACTCAAAAGTAAAATTCAATTTATATGTTTCCACTTGAAGAATCGAGATGATCATAATTCTAGCAAAACTAAAAATTTCATTAACTTAGAGCGAGAAAATAAAGCGAGCTTTCTATAAGTAGAAATATTCTATATACAGGGTGGCCCTCAATTAATGTGAGAAAATTAACTGACATTGTTTTGGCAAAATTGGTACAAGGTGTCAAAATGTAAACAAAATTTTCGTTTTTTTATAGGTTCTTGACTTTGACTATTGCTATAAAAATTTGTTTTTCGGGTTTTTTAATCCAGCTTATAGTTCCAATAGGGCTCTGGCGGCTACAGTGTGCCAGCCATTTAAAATACTAGAAAAATTTTTTTCGCTTTAAAACATCGCCTTCTTATTGGCAATGTCGGATTCTTCGATATTTTCCTCATATCTCGAAAAAAAAATAAATTTTAACTCTTTTTGTTTATTTACAAGGTGGTATTGAAAATAAACTGATCTTCCAGTGATCATTTTTTCCTCTTACACTCATTTTCAAAATCGAAGGTTTATGTTGAAGCTAAAACTTCATAGTCGACTTGAGAAAATAATAATTGAATATACCGGGTTATATGCATGAGCAAAATATTTGAAATTAAACTACACTTAGTTGAAAATATTCCAGAGATTCTGCCTTGGATAATATTTGTCTTAAATTGCCTATGATGTTTCAACTTCAACATGAGCTCTAGATCGTGAATCTCCAACGAAGTGATCGAAGAGTTAACGGCGAAAAACCAAAAAGTTGATTATTTTTGCCCAGCCTATAGATCAAGGAGACGACAGGAAAGTTCAAAAACACGTTCAAGCAATTTGGTTTACCGTTCAACTTTTGCTTTTGAAATTCAAAAAAATAATTTTTTGTCCAACCAGATGCATGCCCAACTTTGCTAAATTTTGCATTATTTTATTTGTCGACCTGTAAAAACTTTATACAAAGTGCTTAATTTTTATCAAATCATTGACTAATAAGAAACAAAAGGGGCTCAACAACGCTTCAATCCGAAACCAACTTTCTATAAGGAATCATCATTCATTCAGTGTAACGTTTATTTTGTTGAGCAGTTCAAAAAATCATTAGAGGTTTCAACGTGAAATATTACAGAAAGGGTGCGAAATATCGACTTGAACTTATACATTTTTTGTTGGGGAAATATCGGGGAACGAGGTAATGCCAACAAAACAGCAATATTTGAAAAAACAAAATATGTCTGATGTTTTAATTATCTCGAGACCAATATATTATAAATATTTTAAATATTGCCTCTCGCGCCCTCTCAGAAATACAAGTACATAGGAAGCTTAGATTCATCGTTTCAAAAAACGTCCTAACGCAACAATTTTTGGTAGTAGTGAAACTGGTTAAAAACCCACCAAATATAATTTGATATCCTGTTCATCAAAAAGTATTAACTTTCTGATAAGATAAATCTCTCTTTACACAATGCAGTAAATTTTGTCACATTAATTGAGGACCATCCTGTACATAAATTTCTATAAAGCAGAAGATATTGATTGTACCAAACACTTGCTTGTTCAAGCTAATGAAAACCATACATACACTTTGTTTGAATTACTTGCCTTTATTTAAGTTTTCACGCATTTTTTATTTTGCTGTTGTTTTACATGTTGCTTATTTTGTTTTTTGCAGCCTGTATCCGTAATAGCGCCCTTTCACCAAGGAGTCACTCGCAATCTAACATCTTCCCGTGCCACCCTCAACTCAAATGCCTTCAATCATACTTTCCAACCGACACATTTCCGTACCCTGCAGCCAAAAACTAACACCCTAAAGCGAAATCAATCATTTGCTGGCTTCCAATCGAATCCCAATGGAAGAATGCGAAAAATTGGAGAACCGCAGCAGCTACCATGGGCCACTCAATATAGCATTTTTATGAGGAATATTAATCCAACGTTTCTTGGGTCTACCCCAAATGTACCCGTCAATTTTGAACAGTCGAATTTCTATACGCCACTTTTTCCTGCATTGATGGTACCAAACAACAACTTCTCCAGCCTTCCGATCCATCAAGCTTTCTCGGTAAATCCATCCTACCAAAACAACCAATATTATCAACCTCTGGGGACTAAAGTCTCCACCCAGAAACGAATAGTTGGACGAAATGAAGCGAACTTTAACCAGAAAAGAGCTACTAATGACGAAATTGGCACAGGCAAGGAAAGTGTTAAAGCACCTGCTCAAAATAAACCAAAGAAAACTGTTTTAACCGCAAACCGATTCAATTCCCTAAAAACCGAAAAACACAAGTGTTACTCGCCAACTTTTTATTCAATGCGCTGCAGGAAACATGCAAAGAAACGACCCATAGTGTACGCTTTGCCCAAAAAATGCCTAAACCATCTACCAAAAGATACAAAATCTACCGATACCCATACGAAAGATTTTCAAAACCTCACCGACAGCATCCAAATTTTCGAGCAAAATGATGATGAAAAGGCAAATATTCCCACGCCAGCCCCCCGATGTAAAAAACATAAAACGCCTGAAATAATCTACGCGAACATATGTGAATCCCTACAGCGTAGTATTGGAGAGTCTCCAAATAGTTCCAGTGATAGTTGTGACGGTACTGCTGTTGAAACATCTACCACTGAAGTAGAAGTGCATAGTGCTGGCGATGCAAAGCAGCCAGATGATGAGAGAGACGTCCGAAAGGAAAACGGCTCATTTTCTGAAGAAAAGAGGCCTAAAATTGTGGATCATTCTCCCAGGCTGGTAGCTTTCTGTCCAAAGAAGCTACAGCCTCTAGACGCGGTGCCTAAAATTTCACCGCAGGCAATGAAAAATTCCCCGATTCTGAAAGTGAGCCCAAATTTCATCAAGCCAAACGTGGAAAGCCCTAAAGGTGCTCTATCTTTGAAAATTCAGGCCAGAAAAAATTGGTCACCGATTCAAAGCCCATCGGAAAATAAGAAACAGCCGACTATTTCCTTGAAGGAAAACACTCAAATTCAATCTGCTGAAGAAGAAAGCTGCAAGGCTCCAAACAATATTCCTCAAATGCCTATTTTAATACCAAAAAGTCCAAGCTTAGATAAAAGTGCTGCTCCAAATAACAATAATGCTGCTGCTAATCAGGTTTGTTTTTGCTTTATTTGTTTTATTTTGTTTTTAGTTTAAACACATCAATTATTAAGTTTGCGCAGTCTCGATAACCAGTTTTATATACGTCGGAAAATTTCATCAGCAAACTCGACGGTCACCATGACTCTAACACCCGATAAATCCTTATACTTGCTCAAAATTATTAAACTAACTTTACCTAAATTGTGCTACAGTAGCTATAGGAGTGTAATGTGTTTCTAATGTAACTGTTTTTATTAACCCGCTAATTATTGGCTATACTAACCGTTTTGTTGCAGAATGCCTTTTATACACTAACAGCCCCCCATTGCAAGCAACCAATTCTGCCTCCCCAGTATTCTGCCACCATACCCCATCAGAAGCATACCAAATTGATACCAAAAGCCTTATTCCAAGAGCAGATAGCCAAGAGCAAAAGCTTTTCCAGCAAGTCCTCGAAGCACAAAAAGCATTTCCAAATACCACTGCAGAAATGCCACAGTTTTAAGTTTCAAACTGCTGAAAGTTACTTCCAACCGATCAAAAATATACACGAAGAGAACCTGATGCGGAATGGTTACGCGGGTGATTATCCCGCCAGTTCGTCTAGTACAAGTAGTCTGCAGCACAAAAACACAACAAACCAGCATAAACGGGAAAAGCCGAAACAGAAAAGCAAAGGTCCTTTGGTGTTGCGACATCCGAGCGACTACCAAGAGCAGTTTCAAGAGAATATTCAAAACTCAGTTCACCTACAATATCCCCAACCGATCATTCCCGGACGGGGTTCGAATATTCCACAAGGGAAGCAAAACGGCGTGGTGCAATACGCTGACTTGGACATGCCCGTAAGTAGAAAGAGTTCGCACGAGAGCTCCAGCTCGAGCTCGTCCAAAAGTCATAGTAAAAAGCAAAAGCCGAAGACTGAGTATGCCACTTTGAGGTTTAATGAAGTGGGACAGGAGATAGACGTGTAACAAATGGAGTGGTTTTAGGATGTAAAGATAATGTTAGGTAAGATGGGGGCAGTAATGCTTACAAACAATCATTCCTTACTAACGTATTTTATACATAGTTAATTATTTCTATCATATTTATGGAAATAAGGATCATGTACAGCCAAGGGGATGCTTGACTAAATGTTATGTATGAATATGAATGCAAAGTAATGCAAATGTTTTCGCTAATAGTTTCTGCAAAAACACCCCAACACAAATAGTTAATATACCTGACATCAACTAGATGTTTATTACATATATTTCGCGTTTGATATTCGAAGTTTACATATTGTCTCACTCCTCATATGATTTTTCTGTGAAGAAATAGAAATGTTTATATCACTTTTAGGGAACGAAATTTCGTGGCCTGTTCGGACGATGAAGATTCGAATTAAAGACGCCGAGTCGCCGATGGTTAAATCTGTTAGTTTATTATCTTCAAAACGATTGCCTTCTATTCCGTAAAAGAGTAAAAAGTAAAAAAGCATATTCCAGATAATTCTCCTTTGCTCCGTCAAAGAGTATGAGCATAAAAGACACCCCAAAATAATCAGTGCATACTTCGTTCAAGGTGTCCCTTAAAGACATATTCAAAAGAACACTCAGACATTATTTGGCACAAATGAGTACAACGTGACCTAATTTTTAAAAACAAATCTCGGCTCCTCGGAACTTGATAGTCAAAGTTAAAATGTTTTGTGATGTTTTTGAAATATCTGGAGCATGTTACAATGGATTTCAATGAAACTGGCTGCCAATTTGTTGCTATGTAAGACGCATGTTTTGGTGAAGCAACCGAGTTCATCAGCTTTGGGAAAGTGAGGAATTCTTGAGCGCCTCGGTATAAAAACTACCAAAACTTTTTACTTGGCAGGTAGAATCAACTAATTTTTTTGAGTTGACGCACTAATCCTTTCTGAACATTTTTGGGTTCTTTGTAAAATCTTGTAGATTCATAGCATCTACGCAAAAAAAACTGCTTTCTGTTTCCTTGCTATTTAATCAATTAATTGTTCAAGGTTTTGTAATTTTTAACTGACCGACAGTCGTCCGAATGGTGTTTATCAGAAATATCACGAAAAGGCAAAGCGAGTTTTTAGTAAAATATGGCCCTGACGTAGCAAAAAATACACAGCAGGTTTAATGAAAATCCGTCTGAGCGCTTCCTGGATATTACAAAAAACTTAATTTACGTTTCGTTAATGTAAAAAGTTAATTAAGTTAAGTCTAAAATTGCCAGTTGGCAAAAGAATAGAAATATTTTTGGCGCAAAAACTATGAATGCATCAAGATTTTACAAAGAGGACAAAAATGCCAAACGATGATTAGTGCATCAATGCCAAAAAATCAGTTCCGCTTAAAAATAAAAAGTTCTGGTACTTTTTCCACCAAGACAGTCAATAATTCCTCAGTTGCCCAACGCGGATTAACTCGGTTTTAGCAAAACTTGGATCAGATCGTGTGCGTTTCATCCAAAAAATATCGCAGTACTGTTTAAATGTATGAGACAAATTCTTTTCTCAAGATATTTTTTAGCTACATTTTGTACGTTAATAATTGTAAAAGTAGTATAAGTATGTAAGGTATTGTTGATAAGTTCATGAACATATCGAACCAATTATACTCTAAGTACGTACTATACTATGTATCTAACGCAAAATCCATGTAACATGCATTATTAGACATACGAGCATATTTTCAAGCATCCCCTTGTGTGTATCAAACCTTATTAAGAAGAATGTTTACAGGCCTATGCCCTCAACCTGGAAAGCAATAGGCGAGTTCTAATTAATTGCTTATGTTGTGGAAAAGTGTGTCAACTAAACCCTTTATAATTAATTATATTATGGTATTACCAATTAATCAAACCGTTAAAGATTACATAAAATTATTACTACATTTTGTAAACTCGCTAGATATTATGAGTTAGTCAAAAATTGTTAAAGTAGTTTATTCGTAATTACATTATTTATAAATCTGGGTTCTAATTTCAACACCGCCCATTTGAATTTTTTACTCAAAAATTTAAACGATTCACGACTCGTCTATTTTTCCACTGAATTTCGATTCACAGTGGACACATTTGCGAAAATCTATCTCGTTGATTGTCACACTTCTAAGGCTCTTTTAAAATATCACTAGTATTTATTGTATTTATTAAATAGTTTGCAAGGGCATTGCAGATCTAAGTTGCATGAGAACCAGGCAATCATTTAAGTAAAAGTTTCTTCATTTTTTCGCATCATTAATGCCAGAAAAATTAATCGCTTAGAAAAATAAACTGCTGAAAAATTGATAGAAATATTAATATTTTTTGTCTTTCCTTTGAAACGCTGTGTTTTTTGCCTGAAAGCTTGAATAGAAGACTCGATCTTTCACTGCAGCTGGAAAATTTTATTCCCACTCAATAATCAAGGACATAGTTTATTAGAGGTTTCAATTTCCAAATGTACGAAGTGTAAAATGGATAATAATATTTGAAATAACTTAACACTTTTGCATAATAAGTTTTGAATAACTTTATTCAATTCTCGCCAAACGATTTTTGGACCATTTGCCTACTGCGCAAAATAAGGGAATTATACAAACCCTATTGAAATATAAAAGTCCAACAATTTAACTAATTTAAAAACGTTTCCTCCTCCATCTTCATTTAGAAGATTTAAAAACTATAGTAAACTATTTAAATAATTTCGTTGTCCAATTTATATTAAGAATCGTGAGCATTCGCCATTTTTGTAGGCCCTTTTTTTTCAGAATTCTTTAAGACTTATAAATCAAGTTGGAGAACGAAATATGTTGAATAATCGTTAACAAACATTTTCCAAACTTTAATTAATCGAGTTTGTTATCACGATGAACAGAAACGCTTTGCTTGTGGCAATAGCCAAATTGTTGCAAAACCGTTTCTGAAGAAGTTAACGCAAAAATTCCTCGAAATTTATTATCATTTTTTTCTTAGTTAAAAAAATTATTGATATTGCAACCTTTTCTAAAGCACGCTATATACTTGAAAATGGAAAACGTGTCCGCCCTCAGTAAACGGTATGATCTTCTACACGCCTACAAGCAAAAAAACAGAGGGTTTCCAGGAAACACAAGAATGCCTCTACATATTCATTTCTGCTTAGCTGAGCGAGCATTTGACTGAAAACGGTGATTTTAGCTTTCACGAAATTATGAATACAAATATTCAAACATTTTACTGTTCTGAATTGTAAAAACCCCAATTTCGAATATATCCGCTAGTTATGGCTTCGTGTAAAAACTCTATATTTCTGTAGCCACTCCTTCTATCAACTATATCTTGACGGTTGTTTTTTTTCTTTATTTTCTAGCCCCCTTTTCATAACCACCGGCGTCGGCCTCTCGCACTTTCCCCATAAGCCAAAAATTCTGACTCGTCTATTTTTCCACTGTTTGTAGAAGAAAAAACCAGTAGGGGCGAATGCCTTAAAGGTAAAATAGCTAATAAAAAATTAGCCTAAACGACAGCGAATTGTTGAAAAAATGAACAAAAACTATGTATGTGGGTTTCTATTATATTTTTTGTATTAGCCCCAAATATTCAGAATTGAGACAATTGAAACTTGGAAACTAAAATTCAAATTTATCAGCTTCTAATGCAAGTCGAAGCATAAATTAATTTAAGAACACACTGGCGATTGCCTTTTTTCCGTCAATTTTTAACATTCGCAATTTAAAAATTTTTGAATTTGTTAAATTAGACCAGATTCAAGATTAATGTTCTAAATTTTGTTTTAGACTAACGGAACTGCACCTGGCGGTAGTGACACATATATTTTCTAAGGTAATTATTAGTGTGTCCTAAAAAAATTGCAACCCATGTGATAACGTTTTTGTTAGTGTTCTTGGTTTTTCAATAAAATTTTAGAAAACTCGAAGTTTCAAAAATTTGATTAGCTATATTCGTAGATAAAACTTAGTGCTTCTTTACATCTAGCAAAAAACTATAGTGATGAATGTTTAAAGTGAAATTATGACCAAATACGACTAATCATCAATATCAAACGCATGCATGAGACAGCCTAGCCTCTCTTTTACATTTTGCCAGCTTCAAGCTTTAACCGATGTATTAATAGTGAATGAACTAAAAACAATTTAACAACGATAGAATCAACTCAGTGGTGATTTTTTGGTCCTTGGTTATAGAAACAAAAAGCACATGTTTTTAAAGCCAAGCTTGTATTTGTAATAATAACCACTAGTTAAATTGAAAGGTGAATAAAAAGTTTCTATTCATTTATTTTGAAGACGCATCACGAAAATTTTACTTTCAAAAAGCCTATAGGCAGCACATTAAATTAGCTGCATATAATTAGAATATTAATGCTTCAAATAAAGTTTTGAAATAATTTTAAAGTGTATGCACGATAGATGAAAACAACTACAAATAGTTTTTTTTTTATTAATTGACAAAGTAATTTTCAAATTAACGTATTGATATATTTTTCTTTCAGCCGTATAGACCGGATCCTTGTGATCTAGTCTATGCAGATGTAGATTACAAATCGAACTATGGACCTATCAACTATAAGGCTGCCTCCGTGTATGCTGCATTGAAGAGAAACAAGTCCAACAACAGAATGGAGGATATTGATAAGCAGGACTTGCTGTAAATCTTTTGGTTTTCATTTTTAACTGAACCAGGTGGTGATAACCGTGTTTTCTATTAACACATTTTATAGCGAATGTACCGCTTCCTACCAAAGATATTTGTTAATAACAATTAGGTTAGTGTATATCTATTAATTTGAGCTATTTGAARGAACTTTTCGTTTATCAAGAGTGGTATAATCAATGCAAAGAAATTATAAGAAAAAAGCTTACAAAACTGCTGTTACTACATCTAATAATGGTTWATTTGTCAGCAATACTTGGTCACAGAATGGTTTCCTGGAAGCAATAGATAAAAAAACCAGTAGATAAAAAAAATACACCTAGAATCTTGGTAAAGTATGTTAGAAAACTCGCGTTTAGAGATTTTGATTTGAAAATAGGGACATCAGTATCRTMACTGATAAGAGTATATACATTTATTTATCGCATTTAAACAAAGCTGAAKATRCCAAAAACAAGAAACRTCTAAAATCTRCATAAACACTATTYTCAGAAACGTTTGATCCGAATATTCTACTATTTTCATRCAGTTTAATAGTTSAATCACCWCATACTTATAGGAMAGTTCAAAGGTGTGAAATCCGGAKATTTGACCGTCCARTAATCTTAATATTTCGTTTTTAGTCGATTATTGTTAGTTTAATACTTCAAGTAGGCATTTTCCTACAGTTYTTCAYAAAACAATRGGAATYTAAGYAAATAAACAGACTATTTCCATTGCAATATTAATAAAATACACATATGAAGACGGTTATCTGATCGCGTACTTTCGCAAAAAATAACAAAATTTGTATTACTGCTAAAAAATATATTAATSGCTTAAAAACATGTTTGTTTCCAGCAGCTTTTGAAACAGTTGCATTGTATCAGCCTGGATGAAGAATAATGAATCACGGTTTTAACACGTAAACATTTGCGAACAGGCAAAATACCTTTACTCGTACATTTTGTTTATAAACATTTGTAGATAAAGTGGGAAGCGTATAAAATTCCATTGTCCTTGATTATATCACCCATTTGATAAACCCCTACACCTGCATGTAATATAAGCGTGAATGTACTGATAAACTAGCGCCAGTAAAGTGTAACATATTTGATAAAATTTAACTGGAACTGTAATAGCACGATGTTTAATTTAAATGTAGAAACGTTTATTATAATAAATGCATTTTAAATTATTCGTTACATTTAAATAGTTTAGATTTTATTGTTAACGAAAAAGTTTTTATGATGTGTGCATTTTATATGAAAAGTGTAAATAAATTGTTAATAATCTTCCTAATACCAAAAAAAAAGAAAACACGTTTGAGACATATCGAAAATAAATATTAATTTGATCGCCTTTAGAAATGTTGGATTTATTTTGATCATTAATGTTGCTACTGCCAATTTTTTAGCTTTAGGTTTTATTTGCCAAAAATGTATTTTTATTATAATTTCACGCGAAGTTAAAATATAGCTCTTGGAAAGTTTAAATAGGCACTTGGTATAATTTATTTCTCCTGTTATTCAATACGGTTTTTAGTTGAATATATAGAAGCACAAGGAGTATGTCAGATACCATTAACAAGAGTAGAAGTGTTAAGATTTTATGTTTAAGAACAAATTACAAAAACATACTTTTTATTTTTTTACAAACTRCTWGTTGGGTATTTCGCCTCAAAAATGTTTGTCTTTAAAAAAGGCGAAATTTCCYCACTTCTTTTATGTGTGTGATAAAAGATGTGAAGAAATTCCGTCTTTTTTTAAGACAAAAATGTTTGAGGCGAAATACCCAACAAGCAGTTTGTAAAAAAAAATCCGCCTCAACAATATAGAACTTATCTATACTTTTTATTCATGTAACCAGTATAAAATTTGACTTTATTTCATTTTATTTCGATTTTGATATAATGTTGAAGGAAAAAATWATTACGTGGTAAATATCGTATCTGGCATACTTTTAAAAGTCGCTTYATATATTTGCRATCCCCTGTAATCATGTRACACAAGTTCTATACAGTGGWTTGCATTTTAATTGGTTATCATGGTTTAGAATCCTGTATAAATCATTGAAAGCTTTGTTGATTTCTTGATTACAWTCATATTAAWCCATAGAYCGTGATAACACTAAAACTAAAGCATCTTAACTTATTGTTATTTATAGTTAGCGAGTGCTCAAAATCTAAACCTAGTTTTTATACTTAGAATTAAACATTTAATAAAGGTGCCAAAAATTGTAAGTACCCTTATTAGTTCTTCGCAAAGATACGTCCATTGAGATATTTAAATGATTCGATATTTGGTGTGGTGCTCTGCGAAACCAAATTTTAAACTTTATAATACCGATTATATTTATATTAGAAGCTCTTTGTATAAATACCGAATTGATTAATAATGGTATTAAATTGTATCATCTTGTAGATATGTAACATACAAATAGCTCTTATGCCATTTATTTATAAGAATACATTCTACACAAGACTGGGTGTTTTACTTCCAAATCCTTTAAGTTTCACTAAACTGTGCATTTTCCATGCATGCAATCAACGGATCAAACAAACGTTTAAATCTGATTGGTCCGCAAGAAAAGCACAAGATATAAAAGCCAATGATTCGAAAAGTTTACTATTTATTATAAATATTGGAGTAAGGGTCGATAGAGATTAATCATCCCTCAAAAATTGCAAAAATAATTAAAAGACACACATGGGAACTATGGAAAGTATCTGATTAGCTATAAGAACTTCTTCCGTTGGGTGCTTCTAAAAATACCTTGTGCGTATACAGGACTTTCAATAAAATATAACTGAAATATGTTTTGGTGAAACTTAGTAATACTTCATTCAAAAGAAATTCCTGGGTTCCAGTCAATTTTATTGTTTACCGTTTAAAATGTAAGAAAAATGTTTCGGTGTTTTCTCCACCATCATCAGTTTGTATGTATGGTTGTTTCTACCTTCACATTTGGCAAGCCATTAAAATTACGCAAATGGCTTGCCAAATGTGAAGGTAGAAACAACCATACATACAAACTGATGATGGTGGAGAAAAACACCGAACCGTTTTTGTTACATTTTAAATGGTAAACAATAAAACTGACTGGAACCCAGGAATTTCTTTTGAATTAAGTTGAAATACAGTCAGGAAAATATACACTTAGTAATATTTCATTAAAAATTGGCCAAAACTATATCACTGGCAGATTTTAATACAAAGTAATGCTTTCAGCGAGGCGAAAAACCTGCGAGTTTTGTTTTTTATCAACTTACCATGGGCTCGAAAGCTCATATGAACCACAAAGTATCTTTGGACGGATCGGAATCGAAATGTTAACCTAAGAATCGGGAGCGATAAAAATAACAAAATCAAATATTAAAATGGGTAAAATATATTTATCCAACATAGTCCAGTATAGTATTTGGTCAATTATAACGGACGAAATAAAATGAAGAGAACATTAAAATAAACTTTACAATCAACACAATAATGTTCGCAAAATTCGGCCATCGCCCATAGTTTGAAAATACGGATTTCCACAAAAGTCGATGAAAGTGCCGGGAACGAAATGTTCAAACATCAAAATTTCATTGTCACCTTCCTTTAAAAATGGAGCGGGTAAAAATGCCGATTGTTGCGGCCCGATTTTGAAATACCTAGATAAAACAAATCCATTGACTATAACGACACCCTTGTTCCATCCTTTGAAATCTATGTAGGTGTCTTGTGGTTCCGAATCAATGGTCAACACCGCTCGATATAACCGAGGACCGTTGAGAAAAGTAGGAGTTTTCCAATCAGTTAAAGTCTGATTCCACTTCTTTTTAAATTCTAGTGGAATTATTTTCCAATCAGATACGATTCGGTCGTTAATTAGGACATTGCCCTGCCAAAGCCCCTTGTGTTGATTAAACTGGTACAATTTCCCATAATTTACTCTGCCAAAGTTTTCAACTACCAAATCTAACGTAGCTGACTGGTAGTTTTCTGAGCCCAAGTTTAGCAATGAGTCTTTTGCTCTCCAGTAGCCAAATCCGTTGAGATCTTCTTCACTGTTAAACACATTCGACACCAACTTGCCATTAATCAGGACTATCACAGTGTCACAAACATGGCCTTCAATTTTCAATGTGGATCCAGCTTGAATATCAATATTCTCCTTTCTGTATACGATATACCCGTAGCTCTGTCCGCTGTTGTTATTGATATCAAGCTTTTCCATAGGCAATAATTTCTCACTCTGAATAACATGTTGGGCCTGCTTTATTAAGTCATCTAGACTGAGTTCGCCGATGATGTCTATTTCCGGATAGATTTCTCTAAATGTGGGCTCAGGAGGAGCCGGTTGACTAATGCAAAGTTCATTGTACTCAGCAGTTAATTGCTGAAGTTGTACGTATTTATCAGTATAATCGCCGTTTTCTGCTAGAGGTGCATGGTAATCATAACTGGAAGTATCTGGCTGGAACCCTACAATGATACAAGAAAATTCATAAGTCAATTCAAAGAAAATTCAGTAATTCCAGCTGACCAATTATTCATCTCAAATTAACTGCCCACCTGAGTTATTGTCGGTGGCACCACAAATATTAGCACCATTTAGAAAGCCCCAGTTGGTACCTCCATGCATCATGTATAAATTGAATGAAGCATGCCCCATCAGAATATCCGACAAATTTGCATAGAATTGTTCCACAGTTTGAATATGGTGTTTTTCTGAATAGTGATCAAACCAGCCAGTCCAATATTCCATTACCATTAAAGGTTTGGTCGGCTGATAAGATTCAAGTCGAGCTAGTTCCAGGCCACAGTCCTTGTCACAATTTGCTGTAGCCAAAACACCTGGCAGAGCACCTACATAAAATAACCTAATCGTCATTAGTCTAATTCACATATTTCCGTTAAACTAAGCGTACCGTGGAACCCTTGAGTTGGAGTATCCGACGTAAACAATAATTCAACAATTGCATTTTTCTTTATTATATCTTTCAAAGCTTCCAAATAAGCGATATCTATCGGTTTGTCATCTTCCTTCACATTTCCATACTCATTTTCGATTTGCACGGCAATAATTGAGCCACCTTTAGTAAATTGTAACGGTTCCACTAATGCAAGTAATTGCTTAAAATATCTTTCAACGTAGAAAAGAAATTTTGAGTCCGACGTTCTCACTTTCAAGTCTTCATGGCGCAACAACCAGCTAGGAAGTCTAAAATTAAACCAATAGCTCTAGATTAATAAGCACTTGAACCTAATTGTATTTAAGTTGATATTAATGCTGAGCTTTTTAACTGGGTCGGATTTACAACTATTCAGAGCTTTATTCTAAAGGTCCATCACAATTTTCTGTTCTGTGAGACGTTATTTATATAAAAATAGTAAAATCACGTGTCCAAATTTTGCAAAACTGCAATGTAATAAGAAATAAATCTCAAAAATATGAGTATAACACAGAACTAATAATCAAGGGGAAATTGAAAAACCACACAATTCTGGTTAGATATAAGTTTCAAGAAGCTCATATCAAACGCAACATTTCAGTATCCATAAAACTGCAGAAATAGAAAAGTAATTTCGTCCACTTAATTTAATGTCGTTACCTGGTGAAAAATATAAATGTGAAACAAATAAATAATTATTTACACACAGAATAAATTGTCAAAAATTCTATATGTAAATCAGATGGTACACAGATATGACACAATTTACTAATGTAAATTGCTTGACTAATAACTCTACAAATTATTGTATAATAGAAGAAAACGAATGGTTTTTTAATACCCAAACGTGATTTGGGTTATTTTTTTTAAATACTACACACTTGGTAGGATCAATCGAAGACCAAGGAATAGAAAACCAAAAGAATTATGCAAGATCTTTCTATAATACGAGATTCGAGAATACAAGATTTTGCACAGTAACTTATTACTGTTATGAAAATAATTGGTAGCTTTTTACATTTTTTTGTTTTATATTTTTCATCATATCTCCTAACGTGAACACAATTGCTCAATCAGTAAAACACAAAAATTTGCCTTGAGTTTTTAATCTAAAAAAATGGGCACAAAGTAATTTTCACCATATGTTTGATTTTGTACTGAACTGGAAGTTTAATTAATTATGCATTATTGACCTAAAATTTGAACAACAAAATTAACCAATTCAAAAAAAAAATTAACACTTTGCAAAACCCGAAAATAATTCAACTAAAAATAAAATTTACGGTCAAAAGGAACGTTCAGTAACGTTGACATATTACCAAAGTTTATATTCTATAGAAACCATAGAAAAAAAGACTGACATAGAAATAAATAAATGAATTGTAAAATAAATAGGAAAACTGGAAAATTTACTTGTATTTCATAGTGGAAAAAATGGTCTCCTGAAGGCCTTAGCCCCTCGGAAATACTAATATAGAGATCTTGTGACAACACAGGCTTGTCGCATCCTAATCTTAAACGATTTTTCATATAGGTACTTTAATAAAATGTAATCAATATGCCTTGATAATAAAAAAAAACTTTTATATGAAGTTTTTGCTTATAAGGAACCATATAATTTTTAAGGAATATTTTAATTTTAATTTTTTTTTTTTTTTAATTTTCACAATTTTAATACATATAATTTTTTGAAAATTATTGCTATATTATATAGCTATCATAATTCATCATTATCAGTTAATTACACACTTCAATATAAAAAATACCGATTCTTTGAAATAGCTATTATTGGAGCAATAAGAAATGGTAATCTTAATGAGAATTAATGGAAAAAACACAGGCTCATGTTTTTCATCATTTTTTTAAAGACTCTGTGCGTTACTGTTTTGCTTGAAACCAAAATGTAGTCAATATACAGGGTGTCCAATGCATGCGGATCTCCAAAACTGTAGGAAAGAGAAACGAAGTCGGTTAAATTAGGAAAAAGCTACGCAACCAGGGGACATTTACACTGCGTTTTGAAAAAACAAGAACAAATTTCTTTCAACTTTTCAGATATTTAGAAAAACGCTATTTCTTTATTCATTTTTCAAGTCTACAAGATAGTGTCTATAAAAATGTATTCCAACGTTTCGTTTCATAGAAACCATCATCAACTTTTGCTGTATTCGAAACCGCATCTTTTTGTGCAAATATGCTTTTTTAAATTATTAATTTACCAACCAAACAAAATATCGTTCGAATAAAAGTTAGAATAGGTACTTTAAACGTAACCAAAAAATCTGCTGCTCCACTTTTTTTAGACTCAGTCTAGTTGCAATCAATGGATAATTATAATTTTATTAATAAATAATGAAATTATACATTTCAAAACATTTTGTTAAACTTATTCATGACTGTATCATGATTAATTATGATATAATTAATTCATCACAATAAGAGGTTGTGTATAACCAATAAAGTAATACAACATACAAGGTGTCCCAGAATATGCGGGCAATCTCCGGGGTTGATTTTCAGGATTTAAGTACTTTTAGCACATAA